ATTACAGAGTAGGCAGTATAAAACCACATCAGCCTGGAGAAATCCAATGTGAAAGCACATGCTCCTAATATATCCCAGGACACCCATGGAAGAAAGCTTGTCAAACAAGATGGGGTGCAGAAATAACCACTAAGTTCGAGGACAACTTCACCCGACAGCTAATGACAAAAAAGAGGCTTGGGATTCTTGAACTAACTGGATCTGTTTGTATAGCCTGGCCTCCCACACAGCTAGAGATACTCTGGAGTTCAACCTGGCCAAAAGAAGCTAGTTGAGAGGACTTGTCTCCCTGTGGCCCATATGCTAATTTAAAAATCATACCAGCTCTGCTGCAGTTTCTAGAGCTGTTAGCAGAAATGAATAAACTTGGCTTGACTCTACAACTGCCTGAGAAGAAACCTGAGGACTTCCTTCTATCACACTGTCCTCTATGGAACAGTGACAGCAGATCTGACAGCTCTGGCCTCCATAGAAGAAGCCATGTTGAGGTCTAGTGAGTCACACCTGTGCCCAGAAACAAGCGCTGTAACAGAAAGAGGACCCAGGGTCTCAGCTTCCTTCACCTGATCTTGAACCCTACAATACTCGAAGGATGTCGCCACTCAGACAAAAAGGAATAACTTATGACTTCACTCTCTCCTGCTCCTCATCATTTTGACAGTATCATCCTCAGATGGGGCTTAGGATTCAGGTCCATGATATTAGGCAATGCCAAGCACACATATTCCTGAGGGCAAGAGAGTACTGGAAGAAGGCAATTGTCAACTCTTCCTACATGGGCTCATTTCTCATGTTCTGGACTTAAGCTTTAGACTTTCATTCCCACACAGGGAACTGCTTGTCTGGGATTACAGAGTGACAACATTTAAAATGATCATATTGTCTTTCTCATTCTTTAATCTTTTACGTTAACTTACTAACAGACAGTGTTTCAGCACAGTCAGCTGCTTATCAGGAGCTAGTCTCTAAAACCAGCTCTGGTAAGGCTTGATTGAGCAAGAATCTTCTGGTGTGAGAGGCTGGGGGTGGAGGAGATTCGAGGTGCTCACAGGAAATATTGTGGACGCTGGGAAAACAGAGGAAGTGGTTTACTGACCTTGCCCTTTTGGCAACAGTGTGGTATAGCAGAACAAACTATAACTTCAAGCACAACAACTAATTTCTCTAAACTTTATCAGCACAATGATAAAATAGTATGTGCTATTACCAATTCCACAGTATAGTTTCATAGTTTAAAGCAGATAAAATATAAGAAAATATTTTGTAAACTCTAAAATCTTCAAGAAATGTAATTTCTTTTTTTCTTTGTGGTAGTTTGGTCTAGGCTAGTCTAAAACTCATTATGCAGATAAAGATAAGTTTGAATTCCCGAGCCTCCTGCCCCCACCTCCAAGTGCTGGGATTGAAGGCATGTACTATGTAGTTAGTTTCTTGATATTATTACTGATATATTTGAGAATGAGATTCCCTCTGGAAAGGCTTTTGTAGTCAACATTTTAACAAACCTGTGCACTAATAAATATTTAGGAGGGGTCTAACAGAGCCCAAGCAGTAGCCTAAGTCCTGGGAATACAGCAGTGAATAGACCCTAACCGCTTATTTGTCAAGTAATGATGAGATGGGGGATGGGAAAACAACAGCCCAGGACTGTGATGACAAGCAGAATGATGAGACAGCAGTGAGGGAGTGAAGAAACGGCCCTCAGAAGGAGGACACATGCCAGGAAAGTCTGAGAAACAGCAAGGATCCTCTGTGACTAGAGCTGAGGCCTAAGGTCAGAGCAAGAGAAAATGGGATCAAAGTGGGGGGAGGGGGGTCACAATTGTGCAAATTTCTGATTTTGTGAACTGCACCACAGCCACTGGAGCATGGGAGAGGTTGATTCTGACAGATTCAGTATTCACAAAGTCCTGCTTTTGCCAGACACTATGATAGACTACAAACAATTTGGGAAAGATGTTTTTCTGTACTTCCTTCAGCTCAGTCTGGATGGAAGACATACAATGAAAGAACTCATTACAACGGAGTTTAGTAAGTGTCATAAGATAAAGTTCAGAAAAATGAACTACAAATAGAAATTATCTGGAGTCTCATTTTTTAATATGTTTATATCATGTGAACATGCATGTATATACCTACATATGGAGACCAGAGGACAATCTTTGAGTATTATCCTCAGAAATACTATTCATCTTCTTTGAACAGCATTTCTAGTTTGCCTAGAGCTCACAAGTAGGCAAGCCTGGCTGGCCAAAGTGCCCCAAGGATCCTCCTGCCTTCACCTCCCAACTACAGGGACTACAAGCATGGGCCACCATGTCCAATATTTGTATGTGGATTCTAATGACTAAACTCAGGTCTCTGGACTTGTGAGGTGAGCACTTTACTGACTGAACCATCTCCCCTCTTCTGAATTGTTTCTGTCTCATCTGACTTCTTAATTAGATTCTATACCACAAGAGTGAGTAGAATGGGATCAGGGAAGAAAGAACTATTTATGACAGAGGGAACTATTCCAGAAAATATAACATTCAAGGAATTAGAATTAAGTTAGGTGGCAGGCTGTAGATGGGAATTGGGGTTAAACACATAGGCAGGAGACAGCTCAGAAAGGTAGCTCTAGTGCCATTGTTTTACAAACACTAGTCATTTTAAGCTAGAAAGGATGATCAGGTAGGGGTGTGTGTGTGTGTGTGTGTGTGTGTGTGTGTATGCACGTGTGTGTTGTTATGTGTGTCTGAAGGATTACTCATGCAGCAGTGTGGACAACAGACATGATTAGAACTAAGAACCCATATATTTGACCTCTGCAATCTAAGTGAGAACAAAGATGTCAGCACGGTCTATGCAAGTGGACACGGGATCTGAGAACTGAGGCTCTGATAACCGACTGGCTCTGGTGATGATAAAAAGGAACAATCAAGGCTTGTAACCGCCCAGCCCTGGATGGGGATAGCATTCACTAGGACAAGGAATACAGAATATAGAAAAGTCCTGGGTTCAGCTCTCCACACTGAAAAAAAAGGGTGGGGCATGGTGGCCTTTTTTTTTTTTTTTTTTTTTGCAGTGTGGAGATCTAGGTGGATCTCTATGAGATCAAGGCCAGCCTGGTCTACACAGTGAGTTACACACCAGTTGGGTCTACAGGGAGACCCTGTATCAAAAAGACCAATCAATCAACCAACCAACAAAAGATACTGAATAGCAAATGGTTGGATATTCCTCAGAAGTCTGACCCAGACAGTTAATTGGGAGCTGTTCATGATCAGTAAAGCCTTGGCAGAAAATAAGATAGTTCAGAAAGATGATGTTAGTAAGAACAGATGTAAAGAATGAGCAGTGAAGGAGAAATACGGCAGAGAAGAATGAGACAGAATACACAGGAGGACAGGGGGCAGGGTGTCTCAGAGGCAGCGAGAAAAAAGATTGAACAACAGGAAGAAAACCCCCCCAAAAAGTGGGCAATCCCAGCTACCTGAGAGACTAAGGCATTGCTTAAGCCCAGGAGTTTAAAGCCAGCCTGGACAACATACTGAGACTTTGCTGGGGTAAAAAAGAATGAGCCGATGAGACAGCTCAACGAAGATATACAGATGGTAAATAAGCAAATGCAAAAATGCTCCTGATCACACACTGCCAACTAAAACAAGGCATCACACAGGTCTATGCGAGTGGGCAAAGGCCAACAAATTACTGCCACCAAAGGCTGGTGAGGAAGTGGAGCAGGAAGAACTGTCAATCACAACAAACAACACAGCCATGACAGAAGACAGTCTGGCAGTCTATTACAAATCTAGTTATGTTCTTACCATACAATCTCCTGATCATGTTCCGTGGTATTTGCTCAAGTGAAATGAAAATCTGTATCCATATAAAAATCTGCATAAGGATGTTATAGCAACCTTCTTCAAAACTGTCAAAAATGGGGCCAGGCATGATGATGCACACTTTTAATCCCAGCACTCCTGAGGCAGAGGCAGGCATATGTCTGTGAGTTCAAGGTCAGCCCGGTCTACACAGTGATTCCAGGACAGCTGGAGCTACAGGAAGACTCTGTCTCAAAACAAACAAACAAACAAACAAACAAAACTCTCTAACCGGGCGTGGTGGTGAACGCCTTTAATCCCAGCACTCGGGAGGCAGAGTCAGGCAGATCCCTGTGAGTTCAAGGCCAGTCTGGTCTACATAGTGAGTTCCAGGACAGCTGGGGCTACAGGGAGACCCTGTCTCAAAAAGACCAAAAAAAAAAAAACCTCTCTAAAATGGGAAGCAACCAAGACATTCACCAGTAAGCAAAAGGATAAGATGTGGGCCAGAAGAGGGCATTAGATCCTCTGGAAATGGAATTACAGACATTTGTGAGCCACCATGTGGGAGCTGGCAATCAAACCCAGGTCTTCTGCAAGAGTAGTAAGTGTTCTTAACCACTGAGCCATCTCTGTAGTCCCCTGCCCACTTGTTAAAAAAAAAAGTTTGAAAATCTGAACCTGAAAATAAATAAATAATAAATAAATCTGGATCTGAAGGTAGGCCATAACTAGGAAATGACACAGTATCAAGACTAAAATGCAAAGCCTGCTTTATACTGGGCATCGGGGCCCCAGCAAATGAAATTCCTGTATTATAGTGAAAAGTGGGGAGGGGAGGAAAAGGGGGAAATACAAATGTTTACTGTATTGCTACTACACGATGGGATCAGTGACTAAACACATCAATTAATTTAATAGGAATAGGCCTCAAAAAACTCACAGACTGAAAAAACTGAAGCTCAGAAAACTTAGTACTGGGCAGAGGCCTGTCTCAAACACAGGTAAGGGTACCTGACACCAAAGCTGGTGGTTTACTCTGCTCCTCTACGGCCTTGTGTCCTGGAGGGGCAAGAACTGCAAACCAGAGCTTAGAAAGACAGTTTCATGGCCATTTACCCATTATCAGTGAATTTCTAGAATAACTTAGCATGTTTGAACCCAGTCACAGCTGTGTGATGGCAACTCCCTTACCTGTGGACATAAAAAATGGGATGCGGAACTTTCCGCTCAGCACTCGGGCCCGCAGATTCTGCAGTGTGCTTCCATCAAACGGCAGGGCCCCGCACACAAGCACATAGAGGACAACTCCAAGACTCTGCATCCCAAATAGAGAGTATGGATAGTTAATGGTATTAGAGGAAACAAAAGAGGCCATTACAGTGTATGTGTGGAGATGACGGAACTGACTTTTTCTTCTTTTTCTATAGCATATGGGGCACAGTCAAGGCCAATCATCTTCAGGGCAGTTAACATCTTCCTTGCTTCCAGACATGAATTTGGGGAGAGGGTCCCAACTTTTCTCAGTACTCATCCTCTGGTAAAGGCACATGACAATACAGAGAAGAAGCTCTATTTTTGGCACAGGCGTTCATTCGCTTGGGCCTTAGGGTGTTCTTCTGCAGAGGCAAAGGGATTAGCTTGAAACCTGAGGCTCAGCCCATGAGACGAGTGCTGGAGGGCTGCACAAGTCCTGGGAGCTGTAAGAACAAACGACCATGTTCTCCATTCACATGTAGCACCATGTCCTCTGGCAGGACATGTCCTCTAGCAGGACAGCTGGCCATCCAGGGAGTGGGCAGCGGGGTAGGAGGAGGCAGTACTTACCCAGATGTCCACTTTGGGTCCATCATACTCCTTCCCTTCAAAGAGCTCCGGCGCGGCGTAGGGCGGGCTGCCACACCAGGTCTTCAGCAGCTGCCCAGGAGTGAAGAGGTTGCTGAAGCCAAAATCTAGAAAGACAAATGGATACCACTTATGTCATTACAATTCATCTAGTCTCTGGTCAGCAGAGCAAAGGGCCCAAGTAACCAAGGTGGAATAGCAAATGCACAAAGAGAACATTTATAAAGTATACAGTCAGCCACTTGAACTTAATGAAATTGGGAATGGAGGTCAGTAGAGAGTGCTTGCCTAATACTTGTGACTGCTGGGAAGAAAGGGGAGAGAAAGGAAGCAAAAGAGGAAAGGAGAGGCGAGGAGGAGAGACTGATGTTGGGAAACTTAAAAAAATAAAAATAGGGCTGGAGAGATGGCTCAGAGGTTAAGAACACTGGTTGTTCTTGCAGAAGATCCGGGTTCGCATCCCAGTACCCACATGGCAGCTAACTGTCTGTAACTCCAGTCCCAGGGGATCCGACAGCCTCTTCTGTCCTCTGCTGGCATTGCACAACATGGGTGCACTTACCTACATGCAGGCAATACATGCATACACGTGAAATTAAATTAAAAAATTTTTAAATTAAAAACAAAACTGTGCTGGATCTGGAAACCAGGACCTTATCCATGCTGAGCACTTTCTCTAAGATACAACACCCCAGCCTCAGACCTTTAGCAAAACTCTGACATTTTTTGAAGACAGTCTCATCATAAAGTCCTGACTGGCCTGGAACTCTCTATGTAGACCAGGTTGGCCTTGAACTCATGCCATTCATCCTGCCTCTGACTCTTTAACTGGGATTACAGGTACAAGCCACCACACCTAACTAAAAGCACTGACAGCACTTAGGCCTGTGGGCATCCAGTGAGTATCTAAAAGTGGGCAAAAGTTCCGCATCTGCCTCCATTTGGCATCTGTCTCTTAGGCCTGGAATCATTCTCTTCATAAGAACAGGTCTGCTAGATAAACATTTTGTGACTAGAGGCAAATCTACCCCTCAAGACAACAGTGACTTTCTTATCCTGACAAGGCCAGTCCTGAGGTAATGGTGAAGCAGACCACAGTTTGAGCAAGGCTGACTAACCAGGCTTGCTTCCTATGACAGCCCCCACTCCCATATAACCTGGAGTTCATAGCAGTACCCCTAAAGACAGGGCTAAGGACACTGGTTCTCTTTGTCTTCTTGATATGGTCAAACTGATTCAAGTTCCTTTCCTGGTTTTCATCATTACCTTTCCATTTTCTTTTGGGGCAGTTGGCCATACCTGATTTGGTGGAACCCACCAGAGCTGGCCTGTGGCTTAGCACTCCAGTAACATTAAGACCATATTAAAGCAGGGAGTACATGGGAGCTTCCCCAATAGGAGTCCGAGTTCTCATATTACTTTTTACTTCTCATGACAAACACATTTATGACCACTTAGAACATATTTACTTTTTTTTTTTTTTGGTATTTTTGAGACAGGGTCTCCCTGTAGCCCCAGCTGTCCTGGAACTCACCATGTAGACCAGGCTGGCCTTGAACTCAGAGATCCGCCTGCCTCTGCCTCTGGAGTGCTGGGAATAAAGGCATGTACTACCACGCCCAGCCGTATTTACATTTTTTCAACTGTTTTGACCCCCCCCAATTCTTTTCTCCTCCTCTTACTATTCTAACAAAAAGGCAGGAAGAGCGAATCTTTGGAAAGAATTACTAAGGTACTGAGCAAGAAAGACAGGACACAGTCCCTGGCATAGACATATTTGATTTAGGGACTTGATCCTATGACTCCCTCTTGCTCCAGGCATATCACATTCCCTGAACCGCCAACACTTGAAAGGCTAGGGGCCTACCTCCCCAGCCTCTCTCCTCTCCCACACCTTCACCCTGTTGGCAGCGGGTCTCCTTCGGCTCTCTGCTCTCCTTCTTTCTACTGTCCAGAGATGTTTTCATGAGGGTCTGCTGATGCTGGATGCCTCTCTGGCTGTTTTCCTTGGGACTAACTTCAGGTGCCATCGTTTGTTTGGGAAGATTCCCCATTAAGTTCCTGTTAGGAACTTCCAGTACCTGCGACCACTTTCCAAAGCCAAATCTGTTCTCACAGTGATAGTCCCACTGGGCCCATTAATGGAGGTCCCACTCTGTTACTGGGAACACTGGCAGTATCTTTAATTCCTCTCTCATCTTCCCCCTTTCCAGTTGGTCATACCACTTACATAATCTCTACCTTGTATGAAGTCCATCCATTTCCTGTCTGAGATTCTGTGAGAATATGTATACATGTCTGTGCAGGTACCCAGAGCAGCCCCAGAAGAGGGTGTAGGATCCTTGGAGCTGGAGTTATAAGCATTTTGTGAACTGCCCAACAAGTGTGCTGGGATTCAAACTCAGGTCCTCATGATTGAGCAGCAAGTGCTCATAACCACTGAGCCATCTTGCCAGCTCCCATTCCTGCCATCCTGTACATTCATATCTTTTTCAACTCTGGTCAGGGCTCAGTACACATACTACCTATGTCACCTGAGTTCCCTTTAAGTCATCCATTCAGAGCCCAGTAACTGTAACAAAAAATCATATCTTATTACTTCCTTGCTCAAAATATAAAAAAATATGGTGTCCTCCCTCTGCTTACAGAACAGTATTAAACTCAGCATTGCCATTTAAGATCCTTCACAGGCCAGGCCTGCCTTCCCTCTCCCACCCTGGCCAGTGCACCAGACTGTTCACATCCTGTGTTTACGCGCCTCTCTTTATGCTATTTCCTTTCTGTCCCAGGCCTTTTCCTGTCTTTTCCACCTTTACAGTATCACTCATTTTCAAGGCCCAGTCAACTATTACTTCCTGTATGATGCTTTAACTGATTTCCAGCACAAAATACCCTGTCAATGGCTTCCTCTGGGCTTGCACAGCCTTCTGTTTATCCCTCTGCATTGCAATCATCACCCTGCCCAAGACTAGACTTAGTTGTATTATGTGCTTGAATTCTCCACTTGTCAGCGAATGGAGGGGAGAGTATTGTTTGTCCTTGTCTCTGTGTAGAATTTTTTAAATTTATTTTCAATTTATACATATGAGTGTTTTGTCTGCCTGTATGTAAATGTACCCATGTGTGCAAACCCCCAGAGGCCAGAAAAGGGTATCAGATCTTCTGGAAATGGAGTTACAGATGGTTGTTAGCTGCCATGTGGGTGCTGGGAACTGAATGGAGGTCCTTTGCGAGAGCAGCCAGTGTTTTTAACTGCTAAACCATTTCTCCAGCCCCAGCATAGCATTTTTAACACATAGTAGAACTTGAGAAAAGTTCACAAAATTAAACTGCAATAATATCACTGGGCCAGCCCTTTCCTGGACCCGTGGCTGCAGGTACCTTCTTACACTAATGTGCAGTGGCCTGGTTATCAACCAGAGCCTCTACCTGCTAGCCATCTGTCTTACTTTTCTGTTGCTCTGACAGAAACACCAAGACCAAGGGAAGAATTTATTCAGTTTATGGTTCCAAAGAGGCAAGAGTCCATCATGGCAGGGAGGCATGGAGGCAGAGGTAGCTGGAGTAGGAGCAGAAGCTAAGCTCTCACATCTTCAACAGACATAGGAAGCAGAGAGCAACTCAAGATCCTGCAAGGTTTAAGAACCCTCTAAGCCTGCCCCAAATGATGTGCTTCCTCCAGCATGGCCACACCTTCTAAGAACTCCCCAAAACTGCAGTACCAACCAGGGACAAAATGTACAAATACTCGGAAGCCTATGGGGGACATTCTCATTCAAACTACCACATCATCCCTCCCAAGATGCTGAAGTTAATGTACTGATCACAAGGGGCTTGGAGCTCAGGACCCAATTCAAATCATTACAGCTGAAGAAACCTAATATTAACCTTCATGACCAGAAATAAATGTCTCTCCTATGAAGTCTCCTTAGACCCCGATCTCCAGGCTCCCCTGTGGCATTGTGTTTGCCTTTCATTTTAGTTCCCTCTTGGAAATACATCTCTCTTACTCTCTAGTATCTTAAGAGCTATTTATCCTTCCTGACTCTCTCCCAATACCTAACACAGTCTTTAAGCACAGTGAGTACTGAAGAAATGTCGCTTATGAATGAAATAGCATTTAAGGCCCTACCAACGAATTTACAAGGTTTTAAAAAAAAATTTTTAAAGAAAGAGTCTCACTATGTGGCCCAGGCTAGCATAGAACTTACTTTGTAGCCCAGGCTGGCCTCCAATTCATGATCTTCTTACCATGGCCTCCTAAGTGCTAGGATTAGTTAGAGGTATCTACCATCATACCTGTTTAGTCTCCAGTTTTTGAAACCAGCTTTATTTATACCTTACAGCCTGCACACACCGAACACTATTACAAAGTGAGCAGGGATGAGTTGCTAAAAATCCCAGCAAAGCCAGGCCTGTAATGCAGCTACTTGGGAGGCTCAAGACGGTGGATTCTAAATTTGAAGCCAGCCTGGGCAACTTAGTGAGACCTTGCCTCAAAACAAAAAGTGAAAAGAGCTGGGGCTGTAGCTCAGCAATAGAGTGTTGCTGGCATGTACAAATGAGATTCAAGAAAGTAGATATTTCTAGTAATGATGTAGAGGGATGACTTGATTTTTTTTTTAAAGACACTGGTCTTCAAAGACCTCCACCTGGCCCTTTCTACACTGGCCTTTGTCCCTTCTCCAGAGTACACAGGAGAAATAAGGGTGCTGTCCTCAGGTAGTAAAGCCTAGAAGGCAGAACTGGGGTTGGGGAGGGGTGATCTGAACAAGAATTTAACCAGCTAAGCAACAGATATAAAGCAATTATCTACACATTTTCTTAACAAGCAGCTTAACATAAGAGATTGCTCATGCTGAATTAGGAATATTCTATGTACCTTTTCCTCTGACAGGGAGAGAATGGCACAAACCTAACAGCATGAGCTTATCATAAAGCTACCAAACCAGAAATCTTCACAAAGAAAACAGAGAGCAAGCTCAGCAGTGACTGCAGACACAGACTGCCTTAGGTAGTTTATGTTTTGTTTTGTTTTGTTTTCCCCTTGCAGTGCTGGGGATCAAACTCAGGGCTTTGTTAGGGAAGTGCTCTGGCACTGAGCTAT